GGTTCCCTAGTCCAATGTACATTTAAATAGGAATACTCTGTATAATAAAGTACTTTACATACAAAGGGCGCTTAATCCTTGTTGGTTAATTGAACATTCCCCAAAAGTAGTTACCTAGGTCGTTCTTGAACACCAGCAGAAGCTCAGAATTCAGCTCACTCCCAAGATGTTTCATTCTACTTTGGGCTATCTGTAATTTTTATAAGGTTTTTCCTTACATTTACCTGAAATTTGCTTCTGTACAATGGTTGTTTTTTAAGGCCAAATAAAGCAAACATAAATGGCAGCTCTTTTATTTGAAAATAGCTCTCCTGTTCTCTGCCCTCCAACCTCCTCCCTCAGCCTTCTATAGGCTGAGCATCTTCAGTTCTTTCAGTTGGTCTTATGTCATGGGTTCTAGTTTCCTAGTCATCCTGATTAACCTCTTAACTGTCCATTCTAAAATGTGGAACCCAGAACTGAACATAATCCTTAGGGTGTGGTATGATCAAAAACCAGAATACAGTGTCCCTAGTCCTTGAGTTTTTGCCTCAGTCCAAGGACTATAGGATAAAATTAGTTTTTTTGATTGCCATGCAACACTGTTGATTAATATTGGACTTTTAATATCTCAAAACCCCCAACTCTTTTTCACAGAGATTGTTTAGTCATGTCACCCCCGTTATATCTGAACACAATATTCTTTTACATATGGTAAATTATTAATAGACATTTACTGAGTGATACTTTATGCATTTTATAGAAATGTCATATTTTGAAATATATTTTATTTGTGTACATGTTCTATCACCCCTACTAGATTATAATATTCATGAAGACAGACACAGAGTCTTAATTATATTTTATTTTTATTGCCCCCCTTGCCTTGCACAGGACTTTACACAGAGATGATACTTAATAAATGTTGGTTAAATGATTCATAGAAATAGTTTTAAGCAGAACCAGACCTGACCCCAACACTGTTTATCACCCCTGTCCCTTTCCTAGGAATAAACTGTATTTCAGACTGTGTTGTTTATTTTTAATCTGCTACTCACTCCAACCCTTATAGTTAACAAATTTTCTTCACCCTATATTAATTGATTACTAGGAGAAAACTATCCCCAGCTCCAAACTCCTGTTCTCTTGTTCTTCTCCTCAACCCTATCCTACTAAAACCCATCCACTCTCTTCTGGAATTTCCATTTTCCTAGACCTCTTTCTCTCACTTTTCTTCCATCCACCAGCTCCCATTAATACCTTACCCTTTTTTATAGCACTGACTTTGCCCAGACCTCTCAATACACTTGTCATTGAGGAGGTATTGGAATACTCCTTGCCCCTGTTGCCACTTCCAGACTCACCATTTAGCACCATCATTCAGCAACCTCTCTTTATCTGAAGGTCATAATATCAAAAATTTCCATCCTCTCCAGATGACTATTGTATACCAGCCCCAAAGTTGTTCTCCCTCCTGTCTTGAAAAGTATCTTACCTGGCTCACCATCTTTCCCTTGTCAACTGCTGCCCTTATAATAGGGGACTTCAGCATCCATGCTGATTCTCCTTCAAACTCCATAACTTTTATTCTCTAACACCTACTCCTTTATTGCACCTCAGCCACATATAGGAATTGTCACATATTGCATCTCACCATTACCCATGAGTGTTCCAGTTCTCTAATTTAAAAAGTCAGGCATTCTTCTATCCAGCTATAGCCTGCTATCATTTTATCTCCTCTTATGCCTTGTCCTTCATAAACATGTTCCTCACCCCAAAGGAGAACTCCAGTCTCTACTACTCTTCAGTACTTACTCAGACTAGTACCCCTGCTCTGACTTCACTTTGTTCCTTCTTGAATCTTAATCCAGTAGTTAGCCAATCAACTCTTAACTGTCTTCTATTCTCACTCCCCTTTCTCCCCTTGCCCTCTTGATGTGCCTTGCGGAACCTTTCATATCATCTGCTCCTATTCAGTAGTACAGAGCTGAAGGAAGTCATGGGTACGTTATAAATTCATTTTATCCAACTTCAAATGAGCCCTCGCTATAGCAAGGCAATCTTTTATTCCTTCTTCTTTAAGTGCTAGGCATTATGTTAGACACAAGTAGACGCAAGTACAAAGAATGAAACAGCCCCTATTTGTTAGGAATTTGCATTCTAATGGAGGACAAGTACAAACAAAAATATATATAGCATAAATATAAAGTAATTCAATAAGATAAGTGTGTGAGTGGGTATGTAATCACTAAACGCTAAAGTGGTTTGAGAGGTAAGAGAGATCACTAGTTGAGGGAGTAGGAAAAGCTTGACGTAGATGATGGTGCCTGATTAATCTTAAAAGAAGAGAAGAACTCTTTGAGACAGAGGTGAGGAGGTGACTGTACTCCAGGCGTTGAGCTGAGAATGGCAAGTGCAAAAGTGTAGAGACAAGAGGTAAAAGTGAGAGAAGAAAGCCAGTTTGACTGAATTGGAAAGAGGGGATGGTGGGGAGGGGGGTTTGGAAAGATTGGGTTGGGACTAAGATAAGTAGGGCTTTAAAAGTGAAGCAAGAAAACTTTATATTTTTATCTGAGACAAGAGGAAAATTGAGTAGAGGGGTAACCTGATTAGATCTGTGTTTAAGTAAAATTACTTTGACAACAATGTGTAGGATGCTTTGGAGTGGCAAGAAACTTGGAGCGGAGAGACCAATTAGTTAGTTATATAGATAATCTAGGAGAGAGATAATGAAGACCTAAACTCAGGTGGTAGCTGTGTAAGTAGAGAGAAGGGGTCAGGATGTGAAAGATGTTGTGAGGATGGAAACAAGATTTGGCAGCTTGATTGGATATGTGGCATGAAGATGGAGAATGAGGAGCCCAAGATGATACAAAGGTTACCAAGCTGGGAGACTGGAAGGATGGTGATGCCTTTGACAGTAATAGGGAAGTTAGGAAGATGAGAAGGTTTAGGATAAAGATAGTAATTTCAATTATAGATATGTTGAGTGAGGAAGAGAGTAGGACTGGTTATCAATAGGAGAGTTAACCTACATAATGAAGATAGTTAAACCCATGGGAGTAGGGAGAGAAAGAGATTTATTAAGCATCCACTATGTACCAGACATTATGCTAAGTACTAGGAATATAAAGTTTAAAAAAAAAAGTCCTTGTTCCCAAGTAACTTGCAGTCTAATGGAGACAACATGCCAACATCTATATATAAAGGATTTATATAGGATAGATTGGAAAAGGAGAGAGTTCGAGTTGAATGCTTTCAATTTTCTCAGTAAGGAAATGATATACTCTAGTTGAGACAGAGGAAGAATTATGGAAGACTTGAAGAGAGATGAGTTTTGGAATAGCTTCTGTGGAGAAGGAGGTAGAGAATTAGGAAGAAACAAAAAGAATCCCTTTCTGAAGTGGGGACTCAGTTGAGGCTGGTCAACATACATTTGTAATGTAATCAGTCATCATGTTGGCTTGCTGTGTTCAACTGCTTCTGAGTAAGAAAGGTCAGGGAGATGAATGGTTGAAATAATTCAGGGCTGAAGTTGGGTAAGAGAAGAACAGTGATAGTATGATAGGGGAAGAGGATACAGATTCAAGCCAGATACTAAATTTGAGAAAATTTATAGTGGAGAATATAGTATAGTTACCGTGGTTTGAGTTGAATGGAATGTCCTGGACAACCTTCTTCCCTGGACCTCACTCCTGATTGATGACTTCCTCTCCCAAAGCACTCTTTCAGGAAAATCTCAGCCATGCTTCACTTTACTCCTTTGCCTACTTCCCACTCTGCTTTCCAACTGCCTTGCCCACTTGTATACCCTTTCTCTGACACTCTTTGGCCCCTGGGGGTGGTTATTTCCTAGTTCTGGGGCTTTGAACCATGGTCAAATCAACTCAGCTATGATCTCCTGGATGGGATGTGAGAAAAACCCTGTACCTCCAGAGACTCAGGTCTTTTAGGTTTAGGGTCTTTCTGGACCAAAGGGGCCCTCCCTGGCCACTACTCCCTTTGTGTAGTTTTCCCCAGTAGTATATAAGCTCCTTAAGGGATGGAACTATCTTTGTGTTGTTTGTATCCCTAGAGTTTGGCCCAGTGCTTGGCTCATAGTAAGCACTTAATAAGCATTTCTTTCATTCATTTTTAATTCATTCACTAAAGCTCAGATTCCTCTCTTAGCCAGCCATTTAAGATTCTTCGTAGCTCCATCTTTTTTTTTTCTCTTTTAAAATTTTTATTTTTAATTATGAAACTAAGAATTATCAACAAATCATATCTTCTGCATGATGCTTTCCAGGTTACTACTAAACAACATCTTTGTGTAACAAATATTAATACCTGTCTCAGTCTGCAAAAGGTCACCATCAGAAGATTTTTGGGGTCTCTGGCAGCCTGCACTGTCTCCACCCCAACCCACCCTATTTTCTGACTTTATCTCACATGTCTCCTCCTCAAGTACTCTACTATAAAACCAGACTTTTCTATCACCTTATTATGTGTCCCACTTTGCTACCTCTATGGCCCTGGAATACCTTATTTAACTCTCTCCTCCATCTCTTCTGTTAACATCCTATCCTTCATTGTCTAGCTCAAATACTACCCCTTTCGTGTTGCCTTCTATGATTTTTTTCCCCATGTTCTGTCTCTTTGATGCTCTTCTTCTGCACTTAACATAGCAATTTACTGGTAAATGTTTAACATCCAGCTCTCTGGATCCAGCTCAAGACATATTTTTAAATTTAGTCTATTAACATTTTCTTCATTATTTAAATCTAGATAATGTAGACTAAATTCTGACTCCAAATCCAGTATTTGTTCCACTATACCATGCTACCTGACTAGTGTCCCTGCCTTATTTTAATTTCTGGTTTTCACATGAGATTATCAACAAGTTGATCCAGAGGAGTTGAAAGAAAATTATTTTAGGAAAGTTTTAGAGCTTCAGGCATACTGTTGTGGGGAAGTGTATGTAGAATGTTCTAAGTAGAAGCTTACTTTCTGAATGACCTATTTTTCTCTTTACTTTTCAGTGATATGAAGCCAGAGAAGAGAGTTCCTTCACCTGATATTATAGTGTTATCAGACAATGAGCCTTCAAGCCCTAGAATGAATGGCTTAACAAAATTACCACTAAAGGAGACTAACACCGAAGCCCTCATGGTGAGTTTGGCCTTTTAATGTCTTCTCTAGTTCTACCTGTTGAAAAGTATCAGAACACAGAGCCTAATTATTTTGATGACCTTAAACTGGAACTTGGAGCCACATAGTTCAAGAACTATTTCCAAAACTGATCTCACTTGGTCATGAATATATCACATCTGACACCTTGGAGCACCTTTGGTGCCAGGATTAAGATTCTTTTGAATTGTGTATGAGTCCATTTTGATCTAAAAAGAGAAAGACACAGCTCATGTTTGCAGGGAACAACTTGATGTAATTTATTGACGTTAAAATAAAAGGTATATTAAGGACACATGAAAGTCTTTGACTTAGCCATTCTGGTTCTTTTTGTCCTGCTTTGTAATAGGTAATAACCAACATTTATATAGTGCTCTAAGGTTTATAAAACATTTGACAAATGTTATCTCTTTAAATCCCCACAACATCTCTGTAAAGTAAGTGTTGTTGTTATCCCCATTTTACAAATGAGGAAACTAAGACTGAGAGAAGTTTAGTGACTTGCCCAAGGTCACTTAGCTCCTGAGTGAAGTAGGATTCAGCTCCAGCATTCTAACCACTATTTCACCTAGCTGCCTCCTTACACAATTGAGTTCAATCTGGAAGCCTAGTCACCTCTTCAAAGACTACATACCAATCTTAGTGGCTCCAGAATGTTGGAACTTGTACTCTGCCTTTGAGTAAGCAGGACCCAAGGTACCTTTGAATACACTAAACGTGGATAAACTGGATTAAGATTGCATATAGGGACTGGTAAAATTCCTTTGTTGCTCAGCTATGGGACTGATGTCATTCTGTATCAGATTTTTTGTTAGTCTTCCTCACCTCAGGAAAGGGCCTAATCTGACTAGACTGCTTGAAGTCAACAAGCATTTATTAAGGACTTACTATGTACGAGACACCATGCTAAGCACTAAGGATATTAACATAAGGCAAAAAATAGTCTCTGCCCTTAAGGAGCTCACAATCTAATTTGGGAAGACACCATGCAAATAACTATGTATAAGTTATGTAAGGATATACTTGTGAGAATTTCGGGTATGGGGGACAGTCAGTGAGAATGTAGAGTATGGAATATCATATTCAAGGAACAGCAAGGAGACCAGATATATTATAGGAGATTATGAAGGGAGTAAGAAGACTGGAAAGGTGGGAAGAGGCTTTTAAAAAGTCAAACAGGATTTTATATTTTATCCTGAAAGTATAAGGATCTACTGGAGTTTATTGAATAGGAAGTGACAACATGGTCAGACCTGCACTTTAAGAATATTACTTTGACAGCTGAATAGAGGATGGACTGGAGTGGGGCTGTTGCAATAGTCCAAGTGTGAGATGATGAGAGCCTGCATCCTATGAAGAAGGGAAGGGAGTATAGGTGAGGGATGCTATAAAGGTAGATTCAACAAGACTTGTCAACAAACAGAATGTGGAGTTTGGGAGGGCTTGGGAGAGGACTGAGAGGAGTCAAGAATGACATCTAGGTTATGATCATTTAGCACAGTGCCCAACACATAGTTGATTAATGACTCAGATGCCGGTGGTGCCCTCAATAGAAATAAGAAAATTAGGAAGAAGGGAGGGAAAGATAAGTTTAGTTTGGGGCATATTGAGTTTAAGATGTCTATTCGACATTCAATTCAAAATGTCCAGTAGGTAGTTGAAGATGTAAGACTAGAGGTCCCAGAGAGGGCTGGATATGATAATCATCTGCCTAGATATGATAACTGAATCCATGAGAACTGATGAAATCTCCAAGGGAAATACTCTGGAGGGAAGAGAGGACCTGGACCAGAACCTTGAAGGACATGCATAGTTAACAGGCAAGACCTAGGTGAAGATCCAGCAAAGGAAGCAAAGGTATAATCAGACAAATAAGAGAAGAACCAAGAGAGGACAGTGTCAGGAAAACCTAAAGAGTAGAGAATATCAAGGAGGAAAGGATGATGAACAATATCAAAGGCCACAGAGAGATCGAGAAGGATGAGAATTAAGGAAAGGTCATGAAATTTGGCTATTAAGTGATGAGCATTGGTAACTTTGGAGAATATTATAGTTTCAGTAGACTAGAAGCTAGACTGCAAAGGATTAAGAAGAGAATGAGAGGAGGTGAAGTAGAGGTACCAATTGTAGATGACTTTCTCAAGGACTTCAGCTGCAAAAAGGAAGAGAGATATAGGATAATAGCTATGGCATGGGTGGAACAAGTGACAATTTTTTGAGGATGGGAGAGACATGGGCATGTTTGTAGGTAGGCAGGCAGCAGGAAAGCAGCCAGTAGGCAGAGATTGAAGACTAGGGAAAATAGGTATGATACAGAGGGGCAGACTGCTAGAGAAGATGGGACAGAATGGGATTACTTGTATGTATAGAGAGGGTGCTCCTTGACAAGGAGAGGGGTCTCCTCTTAATGGGAAATGAGGAAGAAGGTGTTATTAGAGGAAGGAATCTGAGTTAAATGTGGTAGACAGGAGGGAAGGAGAGAAAGCTCTCTCAGATGGCCTACTGAATAGTAGAGTATGTGGAGGGGAGTAGTAATGTGAAAGAAAGATAGGAAGAAGCCTGGTTAAGAAGGACTTTAAAAATCAAACCCATGATTTTATTTTTTTATTCTAGAGGTAATTGGGAGCTACTGAGTTTACTGAATAGGGGAGGGAAAGTGACAGGGTCAGACTTGTGCTTAGGAAGATCACTTTGATGGCTGAGAGGAGAAGAGATGTGAGGAAGGGAGACAACCAGCAGGCTACTTCATTTACTGCTATCTTTTCATCATTACTTTGAAAAATGTAAGATGGTCATTGAATTCCCTATTTATTCACATTGATATCATCAATCATCTATACCTTTTTTTCCCCCTCTAATAAGAATCATTTGTGCTGTAAGTCTTTCATTCTTGAGAGTTTCCCCATCTTTCTTGGGTCGACTTCAGTGAAAAATTACAGGCCATCCACTGCGTCTTTTCTCAATACTCTCTATAAAGTTTGTTCACCTGAATCCTAGATTATATGTCAGATTATGCCCTGCCTTCCCCTCCAACTCTCTTACAGACTCCAAAATGCAACTACCATTTCTTCCTTTAGTTCTGTAAATGATTTCTCCTCATTGATCATAATTAGGTTCAGAGAAATAGTTCCCCTCATCACTTCATCTACCATTTAAAAATATGAAATTATGAGTAGGGCAAGTCAAGAATTTATCAGTTGCTCTTCTCTCCAGATGTCTGGATAATTAAAAGTTTCCCTCATCACTACTATTTCTACTACTACATACACACATATTACTTCCTCCTAAATATTTTATGTTTACTAAATTCTTTTCTCTTTTTTGTTTTTTTTTTCTTTGTGGCTGAATTACTTGTAGTATGTTATCAGGATAGTATCACTTTTGTTTTTTTCTCTATTGATTCTCATTAAAATACTCTCTTTCCTGCTTTTGTCTCTAATTCATGGATTTTCTCATGTAAGTACATCTTTTTTTTTTTTTAAGTACCTATTTTTGTAGGTTATCTGATATAATCGAACTGTATTCTTGGGGAACGTAACCACATACACAGAGTTTGATTTCTTTTGATTTTACATCATCTTCATTCTCATGTATATCTCCATCCTTTTCTCTACCCGGTGAGCCTGTCACTTATAAAAATCTACACACACACACACACACACACACACACACACGTTCTACATCTACAGCCCCCCCATCTCCACAAAAAGAGAAGTGCAGCTTCTTAACTCATCTCTGAATTCGAGCTAGATCATTGTAATTGTGAGATGTATGCTTAATGTATAAATACTATTCTATTCTTTTCTTTATACTGTTTTATTTTAACATTTTACTTTTTAAAATATTTTGTTAAATATTAAACAAAGCATTATTTTATATAATTACATATAATTTTATACATTTGTATAAATATGTTTATATTACTTTATATATTCATGTTTATAATATATAAATAATAACAAATTTATATATTATATTTATTTTATATTTGTATAAATATAATTAAATACTAAAATATTCTGAACTTCACAAACACCAGCGAACGTAACTGTTTTCACATACAAAGAAGGCAAAAAGTGAATCTCTACCATATATAATTTGGCCCTTTTTTCTTTAAAGTATACAATAAATTCAGCATATTGTTTCAAAGCTGTCACACTTTTTTTTCATCTGAACCTTCTCTCGTCCTCTGTGCTTTTTAAAAAAATGTTTCATTAACACTCTTATTGCTTCCTACTTCTTAATAGAGAAGTGATAGGTTAGAGTATGGAATTAGATACATATTTTCAGACAAAACCAGTGAATGTATTTGTTTTTCTTGACTGTTTATTGATTACAAAGGAGACATTTTGTTTTGCTTTTGTTCTCATTTTTAAATTTTGGTAGTTAAGGGAGAAATGGGGTCAGGGAATGTAGTGGTAGGGATGGGGAAAAAATAAAAGGATAAGAGATGGGGTAAGCATGGATCTTCTGGAATTATAGTTGCTAATAACATTAATCAGAGTCAAGTCTTTCAGATTTGTTTTTAACAAAATGTACTCCTACATTGTTATATTTTAATTATGAGACCTATCTCATTGAGTCTTAGTGATGACATAGATTAATGTTCTTGCAGTAAGAGTTCCAGTTCATCTTGTTTCTTACCCATACTTTGTACATTTGTATGTAGATGTTTATTCACTGTTGAAGTCTAAGATCCTGGGTTTTTATCACTGTCTCTGTACTTGGATATTATTTCCAATAATTTGATATTTTTCCTGTGCTATATTTTTCAGATCTAACTTGGGAGATAAATGTGAGCATTTTTTCTTCTTGCCTTCATTTTTAGTTTAGACTCATAAAACTTGATCAGATTCACAAGACTTCAGGCAAATATATTTTCTTTCTCTTTTTTCTTTTTTTTATTCATTTTAAACCTAAATACCAAACAAACAAAAAAAACACCCAAACCATTTCCATGTACACAGCACAGCATAAATAAA